TCTTTGTCCATGGATTAGAGAGAGTACTTAAGACACTGCACTGAGAGCACAAACCATAGGAAGAGCTAACAAATAAGACATCACAAGCTAAAGACCCCTGCTCTGTGAAATGCATCTCTCTGAGATGCTACTATCCACCTACTAGAAAAAAATCATAAAGTAAAAATACCAAGTGCTGGAGAATGTGAGAACAACTACAATAGGTTGTGGCAAACAATTTGGTAGGTCCTTATGCTGTCCATCTCTTCCCTATGTGAGTTACCCAGATGAAATGAAAACCTACATTCACAAAAAGCCTGGTAGAAGCCAGCTATGGTGGATTACACACATGTAATCCAAGCACTCTAGGAGGCTGAAGCAGAACTGCAAATTCAGGAGCAGCCTGGGCAATTTACTAACTTAATAACACATCCATTTCAAAATAAAAGCTGGGATGAGGAGCTAGAGAGGCAGCTCAGTGTAAAAGCCCTAGGTTCAATCCCAAGTATGAGAGTAAAGGTGGGAGGTAATGAAGGATTGGTCACTTACTTATAAAGAACCCAGTGTCTCTCTAAGCTGTACAGACGAATAGGCATATCCACACCATGGAACCCACTTGGTATGAGACAGTAATGTGTGTGGCTCTGCAGAGAACACCTGAGAATCTCAAGCAGAAATGGCTTGATGGCTGAAGCCATGAGGTTAAGTAATGATTCCATTCAGACAGCTTTCTGAAAAAGGCAAACTATAGGATATGGAAGGCAGCAACAGGGTGGCATGGGGCGCATTACCTGTTTTGCGCCTAGATAGCACTCTAATAATTATTTTCTCATCACTAGGACAAAATATCTGATATCTACAACTAAAAAGAGGAGAAGGTTTAATGGCTCATGGTTTAGGGGATTAGCACTATAACTGGCTGGCTCTAAGGCAAAGTAGAATGGTGGAAGGGCACTGGAGAGGAAAGCTGCTTATATCATGGCAGGTAGGAAGCAGAGAAAGAAGAATAGCTTGGGGAGGGAGATATACCCTTAAAAGGCACATCCCAGTGACACACCTCTTCAAACCAGACCCTACCTTCTAATAGTATATCCATCATTATGTGTCAATCCGTGCAAGAAAAGAGCACCCTATCATCCAATCACCTCCCAGAGCCCTCCACATGAAAATTCGAGAGGGCATTTATTATGGCTTATATGTAGACGGCCTCCCAAATCCTTAGGCAATCATAGGTGGTACTTTTTCAGAGGTGGCTAGATCTAGGGTGTATGATTCTGGGATTAAGGTGCCCTTCCTTGGCATCACCCACAAGGCTGGATGAGATAAGAGAGGTAGGGTCTACTGCTGCTGCTACTTCTGCTGCCACTGCTGCTGTTGGTTGCTGCTTGCTCCCTTTTGTCTGCCCTGTCACACCATGGACTGTTTCTCCTCTGTAACACCCCCCTACCACGGAGCCAGTCAACTATAGACTAAAATTTCTAGAAACTGAGGTAAAATAAACCTTTTCTCCTTTAACTTTGGGTTTAAGGTATTTTGTCTCAGAAACAACAACAAAAAGGGAAATCCTAGATCTAAACCATCATAAATGCTCTACTAAGCTATACTGCCAGCCACTTTTTTTTTGGACTCAAGGTCTCATTTGAGTTGCCCAGGTAAGACTTGAACGTACAGTCCTCCTTGCAGCCTCTCTCAGTACTGAGATTACAGCTATGTACCACCACACTCAGCTCTGCTCTGTGCACTGACTGTGACAGTAGCTCCAAAACTCCATACATTTATTAAATTTAAAGCTATGTTATAAAGAGGCCAATATGATGGAGACAATGAAAGATCAGAGGTAATCAAGGGTTGAGGAGAGGCAGCGATGAATACAAAGAACACGGGGGATTTCTAGAGCAAAAAAAGTACATAATGATGGAAATGTATCATGCATTTGTCCAAACTTTTAACATGTTCAACACGTGAGAAGGGAGCCCTAAGGTCTATTTGGATGATGGCAATGTATCAGTGGAAGTGCACAAGCTGTAACCATACTAACATAAGATGGTAGTGGGGAGGGTGTTGAATACTGTACTCTCTACCAAATAGTGAAAGATATATGCTGAAGTATTAAACAATGAATATCTATACACAATCCTTCCAACGTACCCCAAAACCTATTCTCCACAGGAAACCAGTAACAGTTTCACCCAGTGCAAATCTCTCTCATTTCACCACCTCACCAGCTTGCTGAGGTAGCAAGGAGACCACTGAAGCGCTGTGTGAGGTGCAGAGTGGAGCTGCTTGCACTCTAGCCTAGGCTCTGTACCTCATGTATCCCCTCAGGTTCTTCTTTCTTTTCACCTTCTCAAGTCCTTAGCTTAAACACCACCATCCAAGAAGGCAAGGTAAGATCCCTGTCCCAGGGTCAGACCTGTCTGTGCTTATCATCATGCCAGAACCACTCAACTGCATAACCAGCATCTATCCTTATGCTTAGCAGTCAAGATATTTCAGGACACAAGGACATACTATGTAAGCTTTCTGCCTCTTCACCTCTATGGCTACAAGCAGAAATCTCTCCATGGACGGTGGCATGTTGGACTGGGTCATCAGTACCTTTCTGAGGAACAGCAAGGGTAAGGTTAGTTGTTGGAGCCTGAAAAGCCAGTTAAAGGCCCTAAGTAAAAGTAGAAAATCCTAAAAGATTTTTTAGTGGCAACAGACACATTTCTCAGCCATAACCAAGCTTTCAACATGGCCAGGAATCAGGGCTGACTTGTCCTGCCACTTGCTGCACACATCCTTACATTACCAAGTTCCTTAGTTGCACCTATGACTGTTAAAAAACAAAAAAATAAAGGCTATCTTCTCTGTCTTTTCAAACAGGTGCTATACACAAGTCAGGTGAGCCTCACTAATAATGGCCTAAGAAAAAGGGCACTCAATCCCTTCATTCAACCAATGTACTACCTTTTAGGACTTCTCTTATATCACTACACTATGAAGAGCACAGTCAACCATGGTGGCCAACACCAGCTAGTAACTCAGCCACTTGAGGGACTATGTGTCAGATGTCTGCATAGCAGGAAAGGTACTTCACCTGGCCCAGTCCCAGTCCTGGCTTTCTACATGCTGCACATGTCTAGTCCTGGAGACAAAGAGCTGGCTTCATTCCATGAATTTTGATACAAAAGGTCAAGATTTGCCAGCAAATTGCAATATAGTTTGCTAGTGAGAAGGTAACATCACAGCCCTCAATGCCTGAGAGTTTCCACCTTTTAGAGAAGATTCCTCACATGTGCAAATGCTGCTCAATCTCGCAGAAGGAGAAGGTGTAAAGGAAAAAGGTGGGTTCTGAGCCAAGGTGGGGGCAAGGGGCAAGGCAATCCCATCCAATAATCTCCCACAAGCATGGCTAGGCTAGCATTCCAAAATCTGATGGGCCCTATTTCTGAGACCAGTTCTATTTTGGGGTCCTCCATTCATTTTTAAAGCTACCTGGCATGGTATCCAGTCATGGCTCTTTCACATAGCAATGATATAACCTCATTCCTGCCAGGTCTGATTCCTAACAGGGCAGTTTGCACAAATAAAGCCTCGGAAACTCGACGCTGGGACAGGTGTAGAGTTGAAAATCAGCCATTTGCCCCATGATGCATGGTTCCAGGGAGTTATACTCTAAGCTTGTGGGAGATGCTGAGGTGGCCACAGGTGTGGCAAGGCCATGTCCAGCAGACAGACTGCCTAATAAGTCCATGACAGCACAAATGATTATGACCAAACACTTGGGGTTCAAGGAACAGGGACAGAGCCCTGGTGGGTTAGTGTTGGAAGATGGCTGAGGGACATGGCAGCTACCACTGAGGGTACATCACACTAGGTTAATACCCCACACATACAGAATTCAGGACTGTGTGGCTGGGCTGCATCTTACATAGTCCCTTGGCCTGAACAAGGGGAAATTTGAGAGGCCTGCAGTGGGAGACACGGCCAGAATGGCTAAGCCACTTCCAAAACTTCCAACCTTCTGACCAAGCCAGGTGGCAGAGCAAAATACACTAGGGGCACAAAATTAGAAGCTCCCAGATGGTGAGACTTGCAACAAAGATGCAGACACAAGGGATGAGTAGAACTGGAGTCCTTCACCCAGGAAAAGTGACAGAGGTCCCAGAAGGAGTTGACTAGTCACAAAAGAGGCAGACATCTCACACATAGTCCCTCAAGTGGCTGAGTTACTAGCTGGTGTTGGCCACCATGGTTGACTGTGCTCCTTTAGAGACAAAAAAGTTAACAAATACCACTAGGGTGACCTCAGAGTAAACTATGGGTGGTTAAAGAACTGGAAAGAAGCTCAGGATACCAACAACTCACTGCCCTGGGGACCAACTCAGGATACTATCAGAATGAGGACAAGTAGAAGGCCAAGTACAGTCTAGGCCAGCAGTCCATGACAGTGCACAGGAGACACTTGGTGAAGGGCCGGGTAAACTACCTTTCATACAGCAAGTACTGGTACATGTGGCATCTCCTGGAGTAGAAACAGTCAATAGCAACTGAGGCTGAGCAGGTGACAACTGAGCAAGCAGGAGCCTGGCAGCTTATGATGCTCTGAAGACATTTAAGCTATGGAGTAGAGCAGCATGAATGAAGAGGAACAGAAAATCAGACGGAGCATGGGCTTTGGGACAGGAGTCATAATCAGTGAGCAAAACGGACTGGAAAAAGTCATTGGAAGTGGGCCAGAAAACCAGCGAAAACACAATGGGAAGGAAAGGCTTTCAAGTAGCCAGGAAACCAGCACATGCAAGCACAGAGAGAAGGGAAGAAGGAAACAAGACTGGGGATATTTCCACACCCGGGCTGAACATCTTCTGTGTGAACAAAATGGACACCTGAGAGGAAAGCAAGTTTTGAGTTCTGAGGGTCCTCACTGAGAAAATATTTTTAACTTCCAGAACATATTTTTAATTTCCAGATTTCAGTGAATCAATGTGAGTGTTCAAAACGAACAAATACAATCTGATAATACTAGTACTTACCCAACCTGAATGAGCTCATTCAACTTCGTAGCATTCTTGTCATCCATACCTTTAAATGGAAAATACATAAATGAGATCATGGGGTAGTCAGGATCAAAACTATTTGATTCTCAAACATTATCTTCAAGACTCAAATCCTGCAACTGAATACTTGAGGTTTTCCAGAATAAAACCTCTGTAGTAGCTGCATCTATTTCTGAGAGGCCATTCAGAAAGTCCACTACCCAAGAAGAACTTCACTAGCCCACATATCTCAGCCTGCCTGAAGATCTCCCTTTTGCCACTTTCTCAAAGGTCCATCTGATGACCTCTCCCAGTTTTTCCTAATCCCCTGATACTACTAAGTTGTGATTTGGTCTGGAATGGTGTTTTTAGTGATTGTTTTCTATAGGTACCACACCAAATTTGTGCACAATTTTCCTGCTGGGCTCTACATTCAATGGTGTCCACATGTGAACTCTCGGGTGTATAGGTTGGAATCCACACTACCCCAGAGCCTGCAGAATAATGTGTCCACCACCGTAATAGTTGATTAGAGCAGACACCCCACTTCTTCTGACCTCACTACTGTCAAGGAAAATGTGCAGGAAAGCAAGGTAGTAAGAAGTTAGTGGGAGAAGCAAAAACAAAAGCAGAGGAAGAAGAGGAGGAGGGAGAAGTGGAATAGGAGAAGAAAACTAAGCTAGTAAAAGAATCCACCCGAAGCCATTTATTTGCTCACTGCAAAATCCTTCATTTCCTTGAAGTCTCTGCTTTCTTAGGGTATGGAGTTGACAAACACACAGCCAAAAACAAAGATGAAATCATATAAGCAACTAGCTAGACTGAACTCACATGAGGAATAAAGGACCCAGATGACCACTGATCTCTCCATCAGAAACAGTATAGGCCAGAGACCAGACAGCAACTTTAGTGTAGTTTTTAAAAAAAAAAAAAAAAAAAACCTGTTAAATCAAAATTCTGTACCCATCAAAAATTTAAGAGTGAAAATAAAACAAAGACTTTTCAGATAAACAATAACAAAGAATTCATGGCTGGTGCAATTGTGTAAAAAGAAGTCAACTAAGTTTTTCAATCAAAGGAAAAGGACCCTAACTGGAAACAGTACTTCAGAAAAAAAGAACACTGCAAAGGGTAAATGTAGATGCTATCACACTAAAGGAACCAGATGGTCTTGTGCCCTGATAGGAGCACATTAGCCACCTTTCCTATGGATAAGACTTTAGGCGAGCAAGCCCAGCCTGGTCAGGGGTTCAGGGACACTGGAGCAAGATCTGAAGGAAGTGTCTTGTCAGTGAAGAGGGACAGCAGGGCAGGCAGAAGGCCCCACAGTCCTGTGTCTGTACAGAAAAAGGCCTGAAGATAAAGCCTAAGAGAAAGTGACTGAACTGGATCACACAGGCCCCAGTAGACATCACGGGACTTTCTGTTATTCTGGGACTGTGAGGGGAGGCTATTCAACATTGACCCAGAGCTGGTCAAGTGATCTCTCAGAAGATACAAATGCCACCAATCTAGCACCTAAGAGGCCCCATCCATGTACCAAGTAAGGGGACTATACACAAGACCTATTTGCTCAAGATGACGAGGGCTAAAGAGCCAGCTATGTGGCACATGAATCATGCCATCTAGCAGCTGTGTCTAGCTCACTCCATTCTAGGGCAAAATAGTAATGCTAATCACTTGATTATTGAGGGCTGAGTACATCAGTCATTTCCTTCAATCCTGAACACTCTGACAAGTCCTTTTGCAACTGGCCATTGCCACAGTCAGCAGGTAAATATACCAGGACAGGGCAGACATAAGTCAGCCTTGCTAGGACTCATATTTGTCTGGAGACTCCAAGTAGAACAAGCCATGTCAAGGAAAATCTTGCTATAATGTTACCAGCTTTTAATCACAAAGCCCAGAAAGAACAGCTCATGCACAAGACTCAGAAATGCTAGCTCTTGAGTGCACATTCCTAGAAAGAGATACAAAAGAACACAATAAAGGAAGAAGAGTTAGAAGCCCAAATGTGACAAGTTAAAAATGATAAGTATTGGGGGGGTTCAGAGAGATCTGGATAGAAATAATCCTACAGAATAAAGGATTCTGGACAGTTCTACACTCCAAGAGCCCTGTGCGGGCTCCAGATGTGTGCAAGCATGTGAGTATATCTTTGAGTATAAAGTACAATTGAACTGGGAGGGTCAACCAGTAAACCCAGAAGAAGTGGAAAAAGCACAAGCTAAGCCACAGGGATAAGGAGAATCCCACTCTGACCAAGTGGCAGAGGAATGAGTATAACCAGGAAAACAAGTCTCAGGTTTAAGTACAGAGGCCTTTGGTCAGGGAAACCAGTGTTACTGTGGTCAACAGAAAGCCATTCAAGGTTGAAGAGCAAGAACAGATAAGATATGGTAGAATGCCTGAAGAGGATCAAAGCAGCCTACTCAAGAAAGGTTGGTGCTCAGTGTGCTTTCTGGACCAGAAGGGTTTCAGAGTGAGAGAAAAGTGAGGACAGAGTAAACAGATTAGAGGGACACAGGCTGTGCCCCAGCCACAGTCAAGGGTGAGGACCATACAAAGGAGGAGGCCAAGGGTTGGGAAAGAAGCCCTTTGGCTTCTAGGAAAGAGACTCACAGAGGGACAACAAACAGGAAGAGGGCCATCAGACAGTACATGGCAGGTCCACAGGGAAGCCAAGATGAAAAAAGTGGACTCACTCAAGGTGGCAAGAGGAGCAGGTAGAAGGGTAGGTGAAGCAGCCCAAAGCATCATCTACAGCAGCTGCCTCTATGCTGGTGCCATCAACTATGATGAGGACAAGTGGCCCCAAAATAGAGGGGAAGGGAGGGAGCAAATATCTATTCTGACTCTAGCAGGGCAAAAGATGATGGGACTGCTCAATATAATATGTGAAGGGCCTGGTGTGGACAGCTACAGGTAAAATGAGGTTCAGAAATAAGGAAGGGAATATTAGTACATGCAACAGAAAGAGATTATAAGGCACGAAAACCACAGAGAATCTGGAGGCAGAGGGTGTGGTGCTTAAAGGCAGGTGATTGCAAAGACTGGGACCTACAAGCCAGGCCCCAAGTCTTCACCTCAAACAGGCAGAACAGCGGAGAGGGCTGACAGTGACACAGGGTGGAGGAGGGAGGAAGCATGAGCACGGCCCCTACTAAACACAAAGATTAGGCTGGCCCATAGAAAGTACCAGCCAGATGATGAGACATGAAGAGTAAGTGCTCAGGTTATGGTCAGAGAAGACACAAGGTGCATCCAGCACCTGTCCTCCCCAGTGCTACAGCTTACTTTGTGCTGTGACACATCAGATGATCGTATAACAACCACCTCACAGAGGCCTAGAATCACAGAGAAAAAGCACAGGCAGGGTGACATGCATAGCACACAGATGCCCTGAAAAGTCCAGAGCATCCCTACCAAGCAGCCGTACACAGTTATTCTAGAAGAAATTTGGTTACTGGGAAATCATGACAGTGCAAAGTAAGTGAGAGGTCCTTGGTAAAGGAAGTCTCAGATTTTCTTAAATACCAACACTCCAAAGATGAAAAATCAGAATGATTTTTGATCCAAAGGACTAAAGGAGATATGAGTCACATGTGAGGAAACAGCCCTCAACAGAAGCCCTGCTTGACACTAGGAACCTAAGTCTGAAAATGGTTAGGAATTTAGGCAGATTGCTGCACATGCCTGACAGGTGTAAAATCTCTCAGTCGGACCATGGGATGTAGTTGTACAGTGTATCTGTATTGTTAGGTAATGCAGGCTGCAATCTCTAAAGTGCAATCTCTAGGTGGTCTTAACAGGAGAGCAACAAAGAAGTGGCACATGTGTGTGAACGTGGGTAAACAAACGTAACCAACATTAAGCAATGATAAACCTAAAGGAAGGCATGTTCATCGTATGCTTCTTCAACTTTTCTGTCATAAAATGTTTTCAAAATAAAAGTCAGAAGGCAAAATAAGTGATCCTGGCCATGAAGGGTCAGTGGTGACAAGGACGAGGGGAGTCTGAGGATAGGTAGGATACTCACAGCCCCCAATCTTCTTGCGCAGTTCGCCATAGCAGATGAGACCATATAGCTCCTGGGATGACTTCTTAAGCCCTCGTGAGAACACTGGAAGATGAGAGAAGGTAGAACTTAGGATAGCCTAAAGGGCACACAGGGTATCATTTCAAGAAGACTCAGGCAGATTTCTTGGGTTGATTATGACACTTTGGTCATGTATGATACAAAACCTGAGATAAACTGTTAAGAACACAGAGGAATACAGTGCTATATTTTGCAATTCTCAAAATGCAAATCTAAACAAAAATGACAGGTATGGTTTTCAAGTTACTCCTGATGGGCAAAGCAAATGTCCTCAGAAAATGAGTCATTCAGCACAGTAGGTTCTTGCAGAGCAAGAGAAGGGTACAGACATAAACATAATCATGCTTATTCTCTAGCTCTGCCCATGCAGAGTTTCCCTAAACCATAAGACAACCTCAACACACAGAGGCTCCTACCTCTCTGAACCCTCTTTGGCAAACAAGGCAACTGGCCATGGATCCCACCAAGCCCCTTGCTGGTATTCGCCTCTCTATCTTCAATAATAGGATGTGCTTTATGCAAGAAGCAAACAGGACAGACATAAGCAACTTGACATGGTACTAAGTTCTGGGCTTCAAGGAAGGAGGTTGTGGAGACTCTGGAAGGCTCCTTCAAAAGGCTAAATTGGGGCAGGTATCTCCCCTTTGCTTACCCCTTCCTTCAGATGCTGACAGGTGGTTCCGTCCTAGACACTAACAGCATACTAAAAACAGAAAAGCAGACAGGAGGCACCTGATCCCTACTTTCCTAAATAGCTATTTCCAAGTACCAGGTGAGAGAGAGAAACCTTCCATGCTAGCCACTGTTCTCTTGAATGTTTTCAATTGTACAAAGTAGAGTCCCATGTTGCCATCAGAGCCACGCTGCATACAAAATGAGTCTAGGCACCTTCAGACTGTCTCATGGAATGGGGACAAATATCACACTCTCTCAACTGTCTGATCTGGTTCTCTCCTCGGAACACTTTTTTTTTCCAGACCAGGTAGTGAGTAGAAAGTACATGGACTTTATTTTCACATTGTCATTTTACTATTTAAAAATGTTTATGTTTGTTACTATAAATTTGCAGTACATAAATGATTACATTTTTTATCAAAAGTTGGTACCTACACATAACACATCGTAATTCTTTTTTTATCTCTTTCCTTTTCCTTCTCACCTCCATATTTTGGTCCCCTTCCCTTATGCAATGAATTTATATGTTTCTCATTATCATTTATTTGGCTCTTTAATTTACTATATATTTTGAAATTCTCATCCAAGAGAAATCATGCAGTATTTAAGCCTGTATGTCCAATTTATTTTACTTGACATTTTTGTCTCATAGTACATTCATTTTCCTACCAATGACTGAAGTTTATTCTTCTTTAGAGCAGAATAGAACTCTACTGCATACAAATACATTTTTAATTCATCTGTTAATAGATATATACATTACTTTCAAGATTTAGCTATTATGAGTTGTGCTGCCACAAACAAGGGTATGCATTTATCACTATAGCATGGTATCTTAAAGTCTTTTAGGAAGCTACCATGAAGGAGAATAGCTGGATAATATAAAATTTCTACTTTTAGGTTTTTGAGGAATCTCCATTCTGATTTCTATAGCAGACATGTATTTGCGAAGACCTAATAGTCAGATATAAGTGTTCATAATTAGAAATGGAAGAAAAATGTATTAGTAAATGGCAAACAATGTTTTGAAAGATTCAATCAAAAATAAGGATTCTGGCCTCTGGATTAGCACAAAGAATCTGACTCTGCTGACACTGTATGCTAACTGCTCCAGAAGTTTTTCCTTAGAGAAAAATTCAGTATATCCGTCGAGCTCAAAAGACATGAGTAATAAGGAAACTCTAAAACCAACTACTGAATAATAACAAAGGACAGCCAGTGTGGTGGTGCACACCTGTAATCCCAGCACCAGGGAAGCTGAGTCAAGAGGCTCACCTTGAGTTTGAGGCCGGCCTGGGCTACACAGTGAGTTCAAGGTCAGCCTGGACTACAGAGTGAGATGCTGTTTCCGAAACAAAACAAAATATAACAAAATAAGATAACAAAAAGGTGGGCTGGGGCTGGGGATTTAGCTTAGCGGCATAAGCCACTGCCTTGCAAGCAGCCGGTCATGAGTTCGATCCCCGGTATGAGGTGGGATGGGAATCCTTATAATTCAATAACAATTAAACCCTGAAACGTACTTACTGACAAAAGCCAAACACAAAAGACTGAATATTATATAAACCAATCTACAGGAAATGTCTGTGATAGTAAACTATTTTGTCAACTTGAATAAATGTCCATCTGATTTTATTGACAGTTCTGGGTATGGCTGAATGGATTTGCTGATGGCAAATGACCCATCCTGAGTGTGTTTAGCACCAGACAAGAGGCTTGTGGCCTGAATGGAATAAAGAAAAAAACAAGAAAGTCTCGCTTTTGGTTTCTTCAATCTTTGTCATTGCCTTGGGATGTCTGTTTCCAGGCTTCTGACACAGATCCTTAAGCTTTCTAGCTCAGACTCCAGTCCTCCAATATAGAACTTCAGCTTCCAACAGGATTGTACAGTAAGCTCCACATCTTTCACATCTGACTGGATTATTTGGCTCTCCAATATGCAGAAAGCTCTATTACATACTTTCACACCTGACTCTGCCATGTAAGCCTATCTAGCAAATTATACATACATTTTTCAATCTGTTATCTAGTGAGCCCTGACGGACATACTCTACACTAATCCATAGCTAATCCACAGAGAGAAAGCAGATAGCTGCAAGGGCTAGGAAGAGGAAATAGGAATTAGGGGATGGGGGTCTCCTGCGGAGTTGTAAAAATATTTTAGAGCTAGACAAAAGTAAAAGAGGACATCACGAATATATCAAATGCCATTGAATTGTAATTTAAAAAGGCAAATTTTATGGTATTTGACATATTTCAATATATATTTTTTAAAGAGCTCAACATACTAAATGGCAAAAAGAAAAATGCTCACAACCCAGAAAAATAAAAACAGCATCAAGACCAAGACAGTACAGAGAAATGGCCAACAGGCATATGTAGCAAAGGGCAAGGAAAGGGAGCAAGCTTAGAACACAGGCTCCAAGGGGCAAGGCAGCCTTATGCTGCTCTGTGATTTTTAGTTCCTTCCCATTAAGACAAGGACAGAAACCAGAGTTTGCCTTTTGAAAACTTCAGGTCTATAAAACAAAATCTGTACCCAACAGCAGACACCAACCAAGGAATTACTTTTCATGGTACCACACACCACACAGTCATCAGTGATGTGACTCTGTATGGAGATGAATTAGGACTGGTAAAACTACTGAATTCCTGATGAAGTACACAGCAGTCACAGCTCCAGAGCAGTGAATGAATGACTTATGCTCCGAGGGACAACATGTGCCCTTACAGGATGGACTTGGCCTAGCCACCCCAAATCCTGGACAAGATCTTCTTACTCTTGCTTTGATTCTTAAGAACACCATAAAAAAAAACCCACCAAAAATACATATGATACATGAAGAACACTGCATGACGTAGTATGATAACATCCAAGGAATCACAGGCATTTCAGAATGTCCTGGTGATCTTCCACCCTCATGAGGCTCTTTAGCTAGACTAGACAACCTCCAGAGTAAAAATCTGCTGAAAAGTCTGGATTGCATCAGAATGCCTGATGAACACAGCTAAGAGACAGGCCCATTAAAGAATTGCCGGGGAGCTATGACCAAAAAGGAAGGTAGGTCCTTTCAAGTGGGGCCAACAAGACATTAAGAGCAAGACACACAAGAGACAAGGCTATAGTGATAGTGTGTGAGTGAAAAAGATGAAGTGGGGGGTTGGAAGAGAAAGAAGGCCACCATATAGAAAAGGTAAAGGACAGGCTGGGTCAGATCCCAAATCCCACAGGAGCCTCCAAGCGCTGGGGAGGTAGGGCTAGGAGATTGTTCAGCACAAAATGTGGCAAAAAAAGAAAGGAAGCCAGATATGATGGTGCACATCTGTAATCTCAGAATTCTGGGAGCTGAGGAAGGAGGACCCGAAGTTTGAGGCAAGCCTGAGTAACCTAGTGACTCAGCAAAAACCTGTCTCAATAAAATGGGCAAAGGATATAGCTCAATGCAAAGACCTTGGGTGAAAACCCCAGTGTTGCAAAAGAAAAAAGCAAAGTAAAAAAAGAAAAGAAGAGGGGAAAAAAAGCTGCTTTGTACTTTTTGATAAACAGAGAGAAAAAGCTCCAGAACACAGAGATGAGCATTTTGGCCATAGAGCTGTGAATGTGGCCTGGCCGGAGTCTATATCATCTATACTTTACATGGACAAGCCTCAGTAAAACAACTAAGCACAATGATTGTTGAACTGGAATATGGCCTCTCCACTGTTCATCCACAATAGCCTTCCAACGCTTACTGCAACCCACTGGCCACCACCTCATTTGAAAAGAGCTTTGCAAGACGAGCCAAAATAGACCCATACTCATGGGGATTTAGCTAAGTGGCATAAGCAACTACAAGGCAACTCAAGGTCATGAATTCAATCCCTGATACAAATAAATAAATAAGAAAGATATCTGACAAGGAAAATAAAAAGACAAAGCATATAGCCAGAGGCCCCCCTGGAAGGTAGAAGTGTTCACTGCAATCAGACAAATCATGATAACCTTGGACCCCAGGGGACCTAACTAGTACAGAGATATGCAAATAAACCATCTGAGTACACAGCAGCAGTGTTGACAACTGGAAAACAATAAAATGGTGTTGACTTGAAGTCAGCACAAAAACTTATGTTGATAGTCATATGGGTACCAAAAACAAACAACTCAGCATTAAGAAAACACCCAGCGGGTCAGGGATTTAGCTCAGCGGCATAAGCACCTGCCTTGCAAGCCCAGTCCTGAGTTCAATCCCCAGTACCAAAAAAGAAAAAAAAGAAAACCCCCATCAAGTCAACCAAGGAATGTTTCCAAAGATTAGAGGGTGACAATTCAATTCCCTGGGTCATAACAAAACAGTCCACAAGAGACAGGTGCGTGAGCCCACAGGGTTCAGCTCCATGGGCAAATAGGGTATTGAGCATTAGCTTCTTCTAAAACTATAATGTGGTGCACACATGATGGTCAAGATACAGTGACCCGATACAGCAGACTAAGATGCCACAGGAATGTCAAGGGAAGATGAAAGCCAACACAAGGACACAGGCAAAGTTTGAAAGGTGGGGCAATATGGTCACAGTTTAACCAGTTATTCTGGCACAGAACGTATATTTGGAGAGAAAGATTAACAGTAAGCATAGGTGTTAATAGGACAAAGCAACCACCATGGGCCCACTGTTGTAAAACTATAGAAATATATAGCAGGCCAAGCAGGCAGGAATCAGGGAGTATGGCAAAGGCTTTTCTCCAAACGTGGAGACAGGCGATAGCAATATATTACAAAGACAAAGGCAGTACAACAGAACATGGGCCAAGTGACCCTGGAGAAACCAATGCACCTAAAGGTGATATAGTCATTTAACTAGAGATGGACCACATAAATTTATATTCAAATACAAATGGTCAGAGTTGTGACAAAGATTGTTCTCCTGGGTCAGAATGACACAAGGCTGCTCAACTGTCACCCTCAATGTGTTCCCACATGAAAAGAAAGGGTCAAAAAAACGGGTCCAATCTCAGCCTGTCAGTACACCTGCAACTCAACTTCCTTTCAATGGACCTCAGCATCCTCACTCACAGGGCATATAGAATCCACAGGCACTCAGGGCCACTGGAAACATACAAAACTCAAAAAAGTGTCAGTAAGATCATTAGAGCATGGATGCAAGCAGCTTACTTGCAAGTAAGTTTGATCAAAAGGCACTGGACATGCCACCAACTGAAATACTGCAGGCCAATTCCCAGGTGAGCTGCTACATAAAAGGCCATGCCAGAAAGCATGCTCCTGAGCAGAGACCCAGCCTGTGACACACTCACCATTGTCAAAGTCAATGTACTTGGTGATCTTGTGCCAGGTACGGTAGTAGAAGTGCCGGACTTGCTCTTTGTTCTTTACCATGCTTGCAGGCTTGCCCTTCTTCTTGTATTTCAGAGCAATGTTGTTCTGAATTGCTTCAAAGTCTTTTCCATGCTGGAAAATAAAGACCACAAAAAAAGTGCAGTGGTTAAAAAAAAAGTGGCTTTCTCTATGACAGTGGTGGTAAATATGGCACTCACAGCTGTTTGTTATCACTAAAAACTCTAAAAAGTTTGCCATCACTGGTCTATGATATGTACACAGTAGAGAAAGGAGAAAGGTGACAGGTGGGCTGTGGGCTATCCCTTACTGCTCTTACTTGTGCATGATCTTTGTTGGAATTTGCAAAGAAACTAAAGGATAGAACATCACAGACTATGGGTGCCAAAGAGGCAAAGGCCCTGCTATTGTTTGAGTCTAAGCCCTCCAAACTCAGGTGATGTCACTGTGATGATATTAAGAGGAGACTCCTCTTTCATGAATGCCATTGTGGCTCTTGTCTTCTAAAAGTTTTCATCAATCTTGCCCTTCTTTCTGACATGGGAGGCACAGTGCTCCTCTCTTCAGAAAGATGCTTTAAAAAAAAAAAAAAAAAAAAAAAAGGCACTACTTTGTATGCAGAATGCCAGCCCTCACTGGATATCAAGCTATAGCACCTTGGACTCCCTGGCCTCCAGATGTAAGAAACAAATCTGTTTCTGGCCCATGTCAAGTATTTTTGTTTAACAGTACACAAGACACTAAAAGAGACTCAGAAGAGGAGAAACATAAAATTCTTTTTATTTTAAAAAAAGATTAAGATAAAAGAGGACACAAGTCAGAACAGAACGATTTAAGCAACATAGTATTTCACCACCAGACAACCTGACATAACAGTAGCTACTATAGTGTCTCTTTCCTTGAAATATCTGAGTGTACCTTCACATACTATAGTATCAAACGTAACAAAAACAGTGTAAAACCATTCAAGAGAATAAAAGTATTACAGGGTATTCAGAACCAACTAACAAAAAATGAACAAAATCCAGTAACATACAACATGATAAAATTGATGGAGACAGAAGAACAGAAGCTTGGTAGGACTTCAAAACAAGATGATATTAAATCAGCACTAGCTATTATGTCTTGTTTTCTTCAAAATAGCTGTTCATACCATCACAGACAATAAAATCAAACAACCCGGAATAAAACCATTCCAACTAATGAACGAAAACATTGTAAAACTTCAAACCCATATAAGGGGGAATCATGATTACTACTTTTATTCTTACCCTTTCTTATACTAGGGAGACTATTCGGTATTTATACATGCGAGTTTGATTTATTTCGCTTATGAGTATGGTCTCAAGCTGTGTCCATTTATTTATAAATATCTCAATGTGACCATTCTTTATAGCTGAGTAGTACTCCATTGTATAAAAATACCACATCTTTTTTATCCATTCCTCAGTTGATGGACACTTAGGTTGTTTCCAAGATCTGGCTATTACAAACTGTGCTCCTATAAACATGGGTGCACATGTATCACTGTGGTATGATGTTTTCAGTTCTTCTGGGAATATGCCTAGAAGTGGAATAGCTGGAACAAATGGAACTTCCAATCCCAGCTTTTTGAGAAATCTCCAGACTGACCTCCACAACGGTTGCATCAGTCTACACTCCCACCAACAGTGCAGGAGAGTTCCTTTATCCCCACAGCCTCTCCAGCATTTGCTGTTAGTAGTTTTCTTGATCCTGGCCATTCTCTCAGGAGTGAAATGGAATCTCAGTGTGGTTTTAATTTGCATTTCTCTAATGAGTAATGATGATGAACATTTTTTCATGAATTTATTTGCCATTAGTATTTCTTCATCTGAGAACTGTGTATTCATCTCAGATGCCCATTTTTGGATTGGATCTTTCAATTTTGGGGGGTCTGATTTTTTTTTAATTCTTTATATATTTTAGACAGAAGTCCTTTGTCTGAGGAACAGTTCACTAAGATTTTTTCCCAGTTTATGGGTTTTCTTTTCACTATGCTAGAGATTTCTTTTGATGTGCAAAAGCTTTTTAGTAAGAGGTGATTCCAGTTATTGATTCTGGGAAGTATTTCCCATGTAGTTTGATTCCTGTTCATGAATTCTCTACCAATCCCTATGTCTTCAAGGTTTTTACCCACTTTGTCTTCCCAATAGATTTAGTGTTTCTGTTTTAATATTCAGATCTTTGATCCATTTAGATTTTAATTTAGTACATGGTGATAGCCATGGGTCTAGTTTTAGTTTTCAGCAAATGGAGAGCCAGTTTTTCCAACACCATTTGTTAAAGAGACTGTCATTCTCCCAGTGAACATGTTTGGCCCCTTTATCAAAGATAAGGTGGTTGAATGTGTTTATAGTTGTGGTTGTAGAAACATAAAACTCTTATAGAGCTCTTTTAGAGATCACTAGACTTTACCAGGAATATAGCTCAGGGTCATAGCACCTGCCTGGCAAGTGCAAGACCCTGAGTTTGATTCCCAGTATCAAAAAAAACAAAAACAAAAAAAACGAGCGCTGGCTAATAGAAAGCAATGCAAACCAAGAGCTCCGAGTGCTGCCACCCGGTGTCTTAAAAGAAAATAGAAAGCTATTCTGCACAAACATCTCATTTTTTCTATCATAAAAAGTGTATTCAACATTCAAACAAGGATAGCCAATATGAGTACTTAGAAAAAGAATCTGAAAGAATATGATCTGATGATATTTTTGGAATGTCTCCATGGAACAGTTGAGTACAACCAAGATTTTAAGAATGAAACTTGGGTCCTAATGCTGTTTCAGGACTTCCATAAGGAAAATCAACTATATGACAATCCCATCAAAACCATCTAATATTAAGTGGGCCAGGGCTATAGCAGTCGTGAGTTCGATCCCTGGTACCGATAAAAACAAAAAAGACCCCCCCCCCCAAAAAAAAAGAAGTACTGGGAGGGCTGAGGATTTAGCTCAGTGGCCTAAGTCCTATCTGGCAAGCATCCAGGGTTGTGAGTTCAATCCCCAGTACCGTCCCCCTCAAAAAAAGAAGTAGTGAGAAGATCCCAGGGGCAACAGCCACCCCACCCTCCATATCTTGGTTTCTAAACATCACTTTCCAAAGAGGAAAAAAAATGGCTCCTTGGAGAAATGCCTGATTCCAGAGTGGGACAGGGAGACTCTAGGTAAGTACAGAACACCTTGAGGTGCCAAAGGTAGAGAATCCTTATTGAGTGATAAGACACAGTCACAAGAGGACCTGTGGCCAAACCTGGAACCACATGGGCCACAAAATCAACAATGACATGAACAGACAATCATCTGAAGAAAAAGCTAAACACTGAGTTTGTATCTGTCTTAAACAAGTAATTGATAAGTAGGTCATGTGGGAGAAGGGTACTTGTACAGCATTTCTAATCAGTAGATATGGATTAAAAAAAAATAGAAATAAGATCATCACTGGCAAATGCCACAGAGATCATTACTTCAAGTAAGCAGCAGCCATGGGTGCTAAAACCAGTTAATGTATGTTGAAAAGCTGAGTAATTACAGTCTCAAAGACATACAGAATGAGCTGGCACTGGATAGACCTGCACTCAACACCTGAACCCAGAGGCATCACCAGGACTGAGACAGACCTCATTAAGCACCTCTCACTGTTATGTAATTTTTGACACTGATTTAATCATGAGGACCCTTCAGACAAATCCAAACTGAAAAACATTCTACTAACAAGCAGGGAATCTTGAAAAGTATTGGTCACATAAAACAAAAGACTGAGGAGGCATTCCAAGTAGCAGAAAACTCAAGCCCTACTAACTGCAAAAGGCCTGCAGGTGAGTGAACAGAGCCCTCCATGTTTCCTTTCCTTGTTTTGCTTGTCACACTGTGGGTACCTTAACACTGGGGAGGCAAGGTGAAGGACATGTGGGAGTTCTCTGTATTTTTTTAAAAAATAATGTTTCTGAAGTTTGAAACTGTTCTAAAATGAAAAGTGGAAAAAAAAAACTTTAAAAAAATTAAGAGGTTGTTTGCTGTTTCAAAAATATTAGGGCAGTGTAGATTATAGCTATTTGGGAGGCAAATACAAATTCTAGAAATAAACCTTGAAGAGCCAAATCTGATTCTGAAACATCTCCCTTCTGTGTCCAACTTTAGAAGTCACTCCCTTCCTGACTGTCCTTTCCTTTGGGTGGAGGTCATAATGTAAGCAAATTGACTCCTGTACCTGTGTTTTCAAACTATACTGTCTCTGGAGTCTGCAGCATTTAACAAATGCCTTCTCAGTCAGCCTTGTGGTGTTATGTTGCACCAACACAATGTAAACCTCTGATGGGCAAGTCCTTCTCTACCTTCTCCACATTCCCAAAGTAACTACTGGTAATGATTGATACATTGGGTCAACAGTGAGAAGTTTATAAGCTAAACTAAGTAATTTAGCAGTTTTACATACAGAGGTGTAAAGGACATGCCCTAGAGTACCTGATTAAGGTCCAGAACGTTTTAATGGGTGATTCCCCATTGTGTCAACTTGAGAAGTTTAGAAGTTTAATTAAGTGACCAGGCAGAAGGCCAGGGTCCTCACTTTGTAAACATTCTGAGCTTGTGGAAGAGGAGGGTAGGGAGAGGATGGTGAGTGCCACAGAGCCCTGGGGCAGGTACCTACTTACAAAATAAAGGAGGGAAAGAGGCTTCTCCCTATGCACTCCCACTCTGCTTTTGCTGTCTTCTGCTGCCTTTAACTCTTGCTACTCAACCATGCTATCCTGCCTTGGGCTAGCTGTTCACGGACTGAAACCTCCACAAACTGTGAGCTGAAAAAACTTTTCTTTCCTGAATTCTAGGAATCAGGAATTTTGTCTCAACAAAGAGAAAAAAGTAACTAAGATACTATGTTGTCCTCTGACTAGTTATGAATTCAATCAATGATGTTGGAAACAGCAACAAAAAATAGCCCAAGTTTAAAGTAAGAGAACACTATCCAAAGTCAGACAAAGACTCACAGTATGAAATCAGGCATGGTAGCCCATGACTCTTGCTGATACAAGAGGATCCTTGCAAATTTGAAACCAGCCTGGGCTACAAAGTGAGTTCAAGGTCAGCATGAATTGCATAGTGAGACCCTGTCTGAAAAAAAAAAAGACTTGCAGTATGTATATTGGCAACAAAAAAGCCAAAGATATCCCTGCATGGCATTTTGCAGAACACTGGGCAGACACAGGCAGAAGCAGAGAAAGGGAGCCTATTACAAAGCACAGGAGAGATGAGGCCATTAGCAACTCTCAGTAAGGTGAGAAATAAGAACAAGAAGCTGTCCAAGAGGTTATAAGGTAAGTAAACAAGAATCACATGGTGAAAAACACATACAGGTAGTCAGATGAACAGATATTAACAAGGGAAATGAAACAGATACTTAGTGGTAGACTCTACAGAACCAGGTTGAAACACAAGGGCACTAAGAGACAAAAGGTAGAAGCAGATCTAGGACAACTTCCCCCTAAGCATTTAACTCACCTGTCTATCCTATTCCCTGCCAATAATGGAATTACGACTCATTCCTGGCAACAGAAAAGGAGCCTGGACAGGCATTCACTGAAAAGACCAATCTGAGCTGGGGCCCAGGGTTGTTATGAGAGCAAGGTTGGGGCAGCACTGGACTCTCTGAGGGGTTTGAGGCAGGAGACAAGCAATAGACTAAGGCCAAGATGAACAGCCATACAGTCTTAACTTTGTATCACCCCCCTCTTGCTTAGAACAGTTACTCAGTTTCTTTTACCCTTGGTGCTGCTCTGAGCTAGTCTCAAACACTGACAGCAAAAGTAGATCCCACATGTGCTATCAACAAGACAGCAAAGGGGTTTAGAAAGCAGTTCAGAGGTAAAGCATCTGCTTAGCCTACAAAGGCCCTCAGTTTGTCTCCAGCATCAAAAAGACGGGGAGGAGGAAAATCTTACCAAACATTATAGAAATAGTGCTCCTCAGACTGACCACTATCATCCCACAGCTAGAAATGAGGTCCCATTCTTGCCCTCACTGATCTGCTACATATCAAAGCCCCAATAGAGTCCCACCTAGCCTTTGCCAGACACATAAAATGACATATAGGGGATATATGTTTGCTTTTGCTCTCTTAATGCTCAAACTTACACAAAAACACACTATTTGAGATACACAGTCCCAGAAGCAGAAGGTATAAAGAGAACAAAACAGACTAATTATTACTAGTTAAGGATTTCAAGAGATCTAATATCATATTTCTGCCTTGTAGAAAAAGGAAATCAAGTACATGCTAAGTACTCTGAGAGGGTCAGACAGGAGAATCATAAATTCAAGACCAGCCCTGGGCAATTTAGCAAAACTCTATCTTAAAATAAAAATTTAATTTTTGTCTTTTTGAGAAAGGTCTTACTACTATGCAGTTCAGGCTGGCCTTGAACTCATTTTGTAGCCCAGGCTGGCCTCAAACTTGCAGTGATCTTCCTGCCTCAGCCTTCCAAGTGCTGGGATTACGGGCATGAGCCACCACACCCAGTCAAACTAAAAATTTTACAAAGGGCTGAGAGAGTAGCTCAGTAAAAGGGCCTGGAGTTCATTCCCACTAACACGCACACACACAAGATGCATGAATTCACATGAAGAAAGACAAAGGGCAGCTTGCAAGAAGGAATCCTTTTCCTACTTTTAGTCAACCACATCTTACACTCTCTACTTTCTGCATTCAGGCTGGTAGACCTCACAGAGCTCACAGTCCTCCTAGAAAGAAAGGGCCACACTACAGTAGTGATGAGTTCAGATGAGATTAGGCAGTAACTGGCTTTTGCCCAGGTCTGTTATCCCAGCACTTAGGAAGCCGAGGCACAATCACTACAAGTTTGAGGTTAACCTAGGCTACAAAGAAAGTTTAGGGCTAGCCTGGACTACATACTAAAGCTGTCTAAATAAATAAATAACTGCAGGTTTTGACAACAAGGCAGGAATCACAAGTCTTCTATGCCCAACAAGCAGTTTATCAAATATGTAAGTGGGGATAAGCCTATCTGAAGGCAACTGCTATACTTTACTATAGAACTCTTTTTTTGGGGGGGGGGGGCTGGGTATCAGACTCACGACGTCCTGCTTGCCAGGTGGGACTTGTGCCACTGAGCTAAATTCCCAGCCCTATTGTAAAATTCAAAGAAAACACTTTTGAAGGCCTGTACATTAACATTGTAGCATTAACACTATAAATACTGAACTGAGTGCTGGAATTTGAAAAAATCTGCAATGAGAAAAAAAGGTACTTGTTTTTTTAAATGTAACTTTACGGGCTGGAGATTTAGCACAGCTGCATAAGTGCCTGCCTGGCAAGCACAAGGTTGAGTTCGATCCCTGATTCCAAAAAAAAAAGTAACATTGCATTTTATGACTACTGGATATGGAAATACCATAAAAGTAACTTAAACTAAAAAAACCTCCACTTTTGTATTTACTTGACTGATTTTGCATCTATCAAAACAAGCCTCGTGTGCACATTTCATTCTTTCTAAGGATGACAAGAGTCAGACCATGCTGAAATACCAGTCCTGTTCAACTGGGATAGGCAAATCTTAGCCACCTGGACCCAGAAACAAGTAATATCCGTCATGGGAATACGGCAAAATCAAATCTGGTGCTCACATTTAGAAGTGTCCCCTTTTCTAATCCTCTGTAAACATTTCATGATTTAAATTCCAAAACCTCATTCCTTTATAGATATTTTTGTTTCTCATGCTTGCCAAGACTTTCTTATCACTCCACTGAAATGAGCTACTAAAATGACAAGGCTGTTGTCTGTTGTTCTAGTAACCTATTCCTAATCTTAAATGCCAAAAAAATCATCTAAAGTAAGAAATGTACACAAATGTTCACTGTAGCATTATTTGTAACAACAGAATCTGAAAGGAACCTTAGTTATCCAAATTTAAGAATGGGTAAATACTACAGGAATGGCCAGACTTGAAGGACACTCAGTATCTGCTGTAACTACTAAACTGTCATAGGACCAAAACCAGCTATAGACAGCCCACAAAGGAATGGGCATGGCTGTGCTCCAGTAAAACTTTATTTACAAAGACAGGCAGTGTACACATAGGCTAGTTCATCTATATCAAAGGGCAATATTTATCGGCACAAAATGAGCAAAGGAACTATGAAACACTATGAAGGTATGGTGGCACACACCATAATTTCAGCTACTTGAAAAACTAAGACAAAAGGATTTAAGCTAAAACCTGGTGTGGGTGACTTAGCAACATCCTGTCTCAAAATAAAACATAAAAAGGGTAACAACCTCAGGGTGACGACCCTGAGATCAATCCCGGTAACACACATACATTGTGGGTAAGACAATGGCTAAGAATCATAGAAAAAAGTGAAAACAGCATAAAATGCTTCAGACAGCCCTGAGGAAACAAAAGGCTAAGATGTACCAAGGGAACTACACCTGCTTTAGCCACCTTAAGGCTTGCTGCTCATCTTTAAGCCAAATGGCAAAGGGAAGCAAGGCATACAGAGTGAAGAGAGAACCTTCTGTACATACTTTCTCACCTCCACAACTCACTCACCTCATACAGTCCCTCGAAGAAGGTATTTTTGTCCTCTGTGCTCCATGACTCCCACTGCCGCCGGACCTTTTTGCCTTCTTCCTTCTCAGCCCCTGAAGACCCTATGTTTCGGGAGGAAGAGCGCGAGCCCCCTGCAGGGGCAACCCCAGACACATTTCCAGACGATGGCCCACCACTGTCGGTTCCTTAAAGAGAAAGGACTATACAGTGACCTGTTCCAGAAACCGGGGTGGGTGGGGGCACAAAGGACAGATAAGTAGTGAGAACAGGAGGCCACCAACCCAGTGTCTGACCCTTCCTACTGAACCAGTGAGGCCAGGAGGATAGCAACCGAGACCCATGTCCAGAACAGAACATCAGAAGCTTAAGTTGACCACATGGTTTTTAAATGTTTTTACAGTTTGAAAAGGGAGTTTGTGTTGTCCACAGTAACACTGCTACATTTGACATTCTGTGCACACTGAAGGCACAGAGACCTATCCCCTCACCAAAGCTGCATATGATTAGTGTTTTTCATTCAAACAAGACTTTGGCTCAAATACTCATACCATCTTTTCAAATAAGTTGAGCTTAAAAAGCAAGAAAGCATTTATAATGTCAAATACTGTCTCCTTTTAGATACAACTGGAACTTCAGAATATTAACCATTTGATGCCTGAGAACTATTAACTAAAAGTATTAGTTTTAAGACTTCTTATCCTTGACATATTTCAAGAGCCCTCACACTAAGGGCTTTGTTTTTTTGTTTTTGTTTTGTTTTTGCAAGAGTTACTTGAAATTGAACCCAGAGCCTTCATACTGTGCTATATCCCCAGCTCTTTTTATATTATAAATTTTGAAACAGGATCTTGCTAAATTGCCAAACTGCCCAGTGCCAAATGGGGCTCAATTTGTGATTCACAGGGCACCACCATGCCCAGCTCTGGGGTCTTGAATACAGCTAATCCTACAAGCTCTCTAGAGCATCAGGCTTCACCTCCAGCAGAATGACGCCTCGTGGAGACAGCAATATAATGAAATATATAGCAAGGGGGCTTGAATGAGAGGTCACCAAAGACTCTATGATCTGACCCCATCCTCCTCGCTCATCTACGTTCCCTCCTCTAAGAGATAACAGAAATTCACAGCATACCCCTATGATACCTCTTTTCATATGCTAGAGACCATAAGTTTCCCTCACTTTTTTTTTTTTTTTTATCGGTACCAGTGATCGAACTCGCAACCGCCTGCTTGCAAGGCAGGTGCTTATGCCGCTGAACTAAATCAAATCCCCAGCCCCTGGGACCATAAGTTTCTAAGAAACCTCCCAATTCTAAAACAACTTTACAAAGATAAAGATCACGGAAGTAAAACTACTTTAAAAATCAAAAGCCAAGAACTGGGCATGGTGGTGCATACCTATAATCCCAGCACTGGGGAGGTTGAAGTAGGAGGATCCTTGTGAGTTCAAGACTAGCCTCGGCTACAGGGTGAGCTCAAGACAGCCTGAACTGCATAGGGAGATCCTATCTCAAAAGGGGGGGGGCTGGGGATTTAGCTCAGCGGCATAAGCGCCTGCCTTGCAAGCAGGCAGTCGTGAGTTCGATCCCCGGTACTGATAAAAAAAAAAAAAAAAAGACAAAAAAAAAAAAAGATTAAAAAAAATCAAAAGGGCTAGGGATTTAGCTCAGCAGTTTAAGCGCCTGCCTGGCAAGCGTGAGGTTGTGAGTTCAATCCCTGGTACCAAAAAAAAAATCAAAAGCCAAATAGATGTAGGTAATTACCAAAATGTTTTCCTAGTAAGATAATCACAGGGTTTTTTTTTTTTTTTTTTTTTTTTTTTTTTAAATCTGAGTTCCACTTCCTAGTCAGACAGGGATGGGTCACAGAGCTAGGGTTTCAGAGACACCTTTCTCACCCTCTCCAAGGTTTTCCCCTCCATCATGATAACCTCAAAACAAAACAAAAAAAAAGGAACTTTACATGTCATGAAAAACTAAGTTGATTAATCCATATAAATTTTGAAAGCACAAAAAAGCAGTATAAGCACTGTGTAAGTGCAGAGAAGGTACAGATTCAAACTGCTCTGTAGCATCTGTCCTACCTGCCAAAGTCTGTGCTGTACTCTTGTCACTTCAGAGGGTTACTGACTTATAATGGCTCAATTAGGATGTTTCTTACTTTTCAATCATTTTGTTTGCAGTACTAGGAATCAAACTCAGGTCTTGTGCATGCCAAACAGGCACAGAACACTAAACTAAAACCAGTGTTTTTAATGAACAGTTTTGCAAATGTTTTTGAGATGGGGTTCTCACTATGTTTCCCAGGCTGTTCTCAAGCTGCTGGGTTCAAATGATCCTATCTCAGCCTCCTGAGTGCTGGGAGTACAGGCATGAGTCATCATACCTGGCCTAATTTTTCAACTTTGCAATGGTATAAAACTGTTCTTTAAATTTTGAATTTTGACATTTTTCCAGGCCAACAATACACAAAATAATCCTCTCTCATGATGGTGGGCAGCAGCAGCACAAAACCCAGCTTCTAACTGGCTAATCACTGGGAAGGAAAACAATTCTACAGTAGACTGGGTTGCTAAGACAGTATGGCTTACAGGTTAGGCTTATTAACCACACTTTCAAAATGACATTTTCAATTTAATGATGAGCTTATAACCCTGATATAACCCTGTTGGCAATCAAGGAATACCCATACTTCATATCAGAGTATATGAAAACATCACATCACTCAGCTAACAAGAGTTTTCACACTTACAGAAAATACTGATGCTCTTATATGGAATGGTGTGACACTTCAGAGACAGACTAACTTCATAAGGCAACAGGACCAGGTACAAAGAATTCACTGGTTTATCAGAGCTGCTCTGTCCTATTAAAAAAATTCTATCACTACAGATTAGTTAAATTTAAAATACTGATGAACTAAAATTAAAAATGTAAGAAATCCAACCCAGGCTTGATCATGGTGACACACACCTATAACACTAGCTACACCTCAAAAGTCTGAGGCAGGTAAACTCAAGTTTTAGGATAGTCTGGGCAATTAGCAAGCTCCTGCATCAAAAGTTAAAAAATTAGTAATAAAAAGCATTGGCATATCATAAAGAAAACATAAATTATTAATCAAGAAACTACATATACTATCCATTTTTGCTGTAGTATTAATTTTCAATCTCTCTTACTTCAGTATTCATAAAATCCAGGTCTGGTAAAGAGAGTTCTTTCAAGTAGCCTATTTGAGCTCTCTTTCTCTTATTATCTAATTATATTTAGAGAATGAGCTTTCTTTTTGTCATATGCTGAGCTATATAGAGTTGGTTACATGTGTTTATCCTAGCATTAAATACCAAATGTAGAGAATTACATGGCTTTCTAAAAGCCATCAACATTTTTAGTGTACGTGTTGCCGAAGCACTCAATATTGATTTTTAAACAACAACAAAAAAAAAAAAACCAGCTTTTTCATCAAATTAACAGAGATATAATTCATTCACAATAAAATGCATACATGTTAAGGATAGGGATTTTATGTTTTGACAAATTATGAATCAACGTAAGCAAGGTATGGGACATGTACGTCACTCTATAAAAAGTTCTTCCTTACCTACTTTCAGTCTCCCCTCTCTAGTCATTTCCCAGTCTCAGAAAAACACTGATTGGCTTTCTACCACAATAGGCTGGTTTTGCTTATTTGTGAACTTTGTATAAATGGAATCATACCAAAAAGGGTTTGGGGTAGGGAATAACTCAGCACTAGAGTACCTGCCTATCATGTGTGAAGCCCCAATAGTGCCAAAGAGGAAAGGGAAAGAAAGGAAAATGAGGGGTTGGGGATTTAGCTCACTGGCGTAAGCACCTACCTGGCAAGCACCAGGTCGTGAGTTCACTCCCCAATACCAAAAATAAATAAATAAATAAATGGAAATTCAGTTCTTTGGTCACACTAGGCATATTTCCAGTAATCAATGGTCACATGTGGCTCATGTGTACTGGACAGTTTAGAACATTTGTGTTATTGTAGAAAGTGCTACCAAATAGTGCTGTATATGAATATTTAACATTTACCATCCTGAGCACAATGATAATAGGATGAAAAATATACTAAAAGCCTGGTTTCCAAGGGGAATCAGAGGGAGGATGAGTTTTTATATCCAAAATGTCCTCCAAAGCTTTACCTACTCCCAGATGGTGCTTTCAGAAGTGACTGGATCATGGGTATGTGGTAACTAGATCAATCATCTGATTACCATAGTTCTGCATGTGGTTGAATGGATTTAGATAGACTGTCCACCCTGGATAAAGTTGACACTAACCAGCAGAGTTGTAGTCTAACTGGAATAAAAAGGGAAAGGAAGACTCAGTGTTTAACTGCTTTCTGCCTGCCCTGCCATGGACTGCTTCTTCTTTGCCATGCATCTTTGCCATACCATCCTGCCTTAGAACCAGCCAACTATGGACTGAAACTTCTACAAACTGTAAGTTAAAATAAATCTTTCCTTCTTTAATTTGTGAATGTCAGGTATTTTTGTCCCAGTGGTAAGAAAACAACTAAGACAAAGAAGATAGATAAAAAGGAAAAAAATAATTGGGATGTATTACTTGTATGTATTTCCCCATGATGTTCTACAAACATCTGCTAATAATGAATGAAACAACATATGAATGAATGAATGCACACATGCATGCAATGCCACCCAGTCTCTACCCCACACCATCATCACAAATGGTTGAGGTATCTCCATGCTATGAGGTAGGCCAAAGAAGTTCTGGACACAACCTCTGATATTGCTCGTTCCTCACCAAATCAATGCTGAGGAACACGGCAATTCCCAAGATGCTTTCACCATGAAAGGCAGCAAGTGCCCTTCCCAAAGAGAGCAAGTCACAAGTACCACTTAAAACATTTCTCAAATGTAAGACATGGTACCCCATGATCCCTCACAGGTGACCATTTGAGGAAAATATGCCTGTCCTCCTGTACCACCCACATTGGAAGTTTTCAAAGCCATTTCTAGTCTCTCAAAAAGCACTTACCGAACTCTTTTCCCAACAACAGCTTGCCAACCAACCCTTCCATTACTACTCAGGTTAACTTCTGCCACCTCATGCTGCCATTAGGCATGCCTCAAATTAACAGAACTCTAGTTTTCTAAAATCCCACAACACAGAAACCTTCTTAAATTTTATGA